AACATATATATGGAGTTGTTGCACTTGACACACAGCTCTAAAAGCAACCCCCAAACGTTGGGATTGGAGTAATGGAGTGGGATAAAGCTGGTGGATGGCAGGAGAGACCCCCAGATAAATGGATAAACCAGGCTCTGTGCCTCCAGCTGCAGTCAGGCAATTAACTCTCAGAGAAACAAAAAGCAGCAATTCCAATTACCGTGGAGAATCGAAGTTTCTGTCAATAGAAAGAGCTGATTGTGGGATTCTGTGAAGCACAGGGAGATCTGGCAGGAATTCCTCACCTCGTTCAGGACAGCCCAGCTCCCTGTTCCGAGGTGCTCAGCTGTGTGCTGGGCATCACAGACTCTTCCCAAATTAATTGGCATGGCCCATCTGGGCCAGGATTTCAAAGGAATGCTGCCTCCTTGGAGACAGGGAGCAGACTGCTTGTCACAGCACTCCTGGAGGGGATGGGGATGCTTAAAACCTGACCACAAGTGACACCAGAGAAGCAGCTGGTGGCTGGCCACTTAAAATGGGATTCTAACCCTTGCAAAAAAAAACTGGATTAGGCATTTGGGAGGGTCTGCAATCAACATCATCTGTTGATTTGGGGTTTTGGGGGTTTTTTGCATGTCACCACGAAGAAATATCTTCTCAGCATTTAGTTTTTGACAGCAGAACCTCCATGCCCACCTCCCAGACTGCAGAGAGGGTCTGTTCTCACCCTCATCCCAGTGAGAATAACAGGGCTGCTTGCAAGAAAAGCCTTTGAGCTCAGTGATTTCACCCACTGACAACGCAGGGAACTCGTGGGTATCTCACTGAAGCCTTAACCCCAAATAAATCTGATTGTTTCTTTCCCCAAATGACTGGTTTACACAGAGGAAGGAAAATTTGCATGGAGAGGAAAAAATAGGAGCAGGTTATTGGGGGTGGGAGGGAGAAGGGAAGGCAAGCTAGGCACGGAGCAGGCCAGCTATTTTTCCTCCTTTCTTTCACAAATCCCTGCCAATATGCTCGCTGTGCCATCTGGCACCCGTGATAAATTTGCCAGTGTGTAATTGCAAGCTGCAGAGAATTTCAGAGGGGTTGGAAATTTCTCTGTCTAGGTTCTTGTGTAGCCATTATCATTTTAATCGTTGAATACAGGAAAGGGAAATTTTCTTCCCTCCTGCCCTCCTGAAATGCAAAAAGCTCCTCAGTCACTCCCTGTCTCCTTCATTTCAGTTTGTTTCATTTCAGCAGCAAAGCCAAGGTGATGTTAGTTCCCCCCCCATCCTCCATGAATATTTCATGTAATTTCAAAACTATAATTTTAGTGAGACAGAGAACATAACATTAATCTATTTCTAAACAAATTCGCCACCATTACAATTCCCCATTTGTAAATGAGGTGAGAATTTTAAATTTTGAATTTACATTTCAACTTTTCTCCCTTTCTTTTGCTCTGTGTTTTCTTTACCCATTTCATTTTGAGTGATGAACCTTCATCAAGCAGCTTCACTCCTATTTCTAACTATTTCAGCTACTTTCTGCTATGCATATATTATTTTTGCATTTCTGGCACACGAGACTTTCTTTCCTCAGTGAAGTAAAGCAGAAGCAGGGATTCAAAGGAGGCCTCACCAAATCCTTTTCCATATGGATGCTTGCTGAGATGTTTTTCCTTCCTAGAATTTAGGAAATTTTTTCCAGATTTCCCAGATAACATATTTCTCAGATAAAGGATATTTTATTAATAATTAGGTCAGGTGAAGTAGGCAGATGAGACACAATTTAGGGGTTTTTGTGCCCTGGAGATGAGCTGGACCTCACAAAGCTCCTCTGGGGATGCTGCATTTCCCGGTGTTTGGCCTCGACTCCCTGAGCTCATCAGGGCAGTGAAATGTATTTAGTGGAAAAAAAGAGCAGTGAAATGTATTTAGTGCAAATAACAGGATATGCTGGGAGGAGGGCATGGGAGTGACATGGTAACCACTGGGCTGCTGCCTTGTGGAGGCTGAGCTAGAGCAGAGGCTGGGCAGAGCTACAGAATAAAGCAGGGATTTATTAAAAGATCTCCTCAATGGATCCACCTTGGGCAGCACAAGAGCCCAGCCAGGGCTGCACCCAAGGTGAACCAAAATGGCACAAAATGAACCCAAGGTGAACCAAAATGGCACAAAATGAACCCAAGATGAGCCAAAATGGCACAAAATGAACCCAAGGTGAACCAAAATGGTCCCAAAATCCCCGACTGCTCACGGGGTCTCTCACTGTGATCAGTTCTGCTCCATTGGCACCTTGGAGTTCATTGTCCCATTCCAGCTCCAGCCCATCAGTCCCATCCTGCTTGTTTTTCTCTCTCCAGCCCACGGTGTTTGTGCTCCTGGGCTGAGATTTGGATCATTGTCCTTGGTGCCCAGCTGGAGCAGGAATTGTTTTGTCCCTGCTCTGTGCAGAGAGCTCAGCATCCCCTGATGTGAATCCCAGACCCGCACACTGAAGCAGCTCAGAATGTGAAAATATAAAATCTACAACCTGAGGCATCAGTGCCACAAACCCTGTCCCACCAGCAGGTCACAACCAGCCTCTCACCTCTGCCTGCCTGGGCTCATCTGGCTGCTCTTTGGGCTATTCCAGAGAAGATGAGCTCATTTAAATAGTAGATCACAGCTAAATTAATGTGTTTTAATTGAAGGTCATTAAGCAGTGACCACACCAGCAGCTCAGCCACAGCCAAGGGGCAGAGGGGACTGGGTGGCAGATGGTGGGGACACTTTTCAGCCTTCACAGTGCCAGAAGAAGACCTGTGTCCAACAGCATCTCAGGGAGGTGCTTCAGATCCAGGGCTGCTCTTACTCAAACCCTTCCCTCAATATCTGACTGCATCAACCCTCAGTGTTCACGTGCAGAGAAACAAACACTAAACACCTTCCTACAAAATTTTGGTTTTGGTGCTGAGGAGGAAAAAACCTGGGAAGGAGGGAGGGCTGCGTTTTCCAGGGAAGCCAAGGCTGAGTTGTGAGACCTGGAGAAGGTGAGGAGGAAAAGAGAGAGAAGAAGGTGTGAGAACTGTGTGAGGTGCACAGCAAAAGTCTGTGGCCCTGGGCAGTGCAGGGAGCTCCCACTCCTGAGCTGCCTCTGTGGAATCTGTTTGAAGTGGAAGCATCTCCCCTGCTCCTGATCTCCCCCAGCAAAGCCTGAGCCTCGGGGAACACGCTCAGAAATCATCACACAGCCTCTGTGGGGGAAAAGTCAGTATCTAGTTCAAACAATGTCACTGCCTCCCTGCTGATAAAACAGCCACAGAAGTCAGGAGTGGTTTAACAGCCTCCTTCCTGACAAGTTCCCAACCATCAAATTTCAAGTGTTTTTCCTTTGATCTCAGAAGCACCAGAAAGATTTTTTTTTTTTTTCCTTCCTTTCCCCATTTTTATTTAAATTTCACTAGAATGCTCTGGCCCAGGACCTGATCCTGCATAGCCCAGAAAAGTTCTGCTACCCTGGTTAGTTTTTGTCTAGTCCATAATTATTTGGGTCTTGCAGAAGAGGGAAGGGAAAGGAAAGATGGGAAGTTTGAGCATCTCACTATGTGAAATGGAGAAAGCTCAGAGGGGGAAAATGGTACAGTTTGTAATTGTTTTTGTTCTTCAATCACTCAGGAAATAAATTTCTATAGGGAAAAAAAAAAAAAAAAGGAAAAAAAAGTGTCTTTGAACCTCCAAAGCATAAGAGAGCCAATGAAGGCACTGCATTGCTTTGAAAAGCAGCTCCCTCTCCTCAGCCTATTTCCACCCCTTCTCATTAGTTCAGATAACTTTCAGAATGCTAATTCATTAGGCTCTTCCAGGATTATTTCCCTTCAAACAGCTGCTGAGAAAACAGAAATAACCTCCCTGTCGCTGATGGCAGCTGCCAACCCAACAGCTCTGTGGGGAGTGCCAGGGCCCAGCCCTGGGGGCTGCTCGATGTGCAGGGGAACAGAGGGAACGAGGGCAGGAAACCTGGTCTGGGCTCCGTTGTGTGGCTGGGATTTATTTCATTTCTAATTGGGGATCTCAGGGAGAATCCCTCCCTGGCTGGGAAAGGTTCCTGGATTGGGAGGTTTAAATGGATCCTAAGCAATGGGGGGGTTCCCTTTTTTCTTTCCCCCGCTTTGAACAGCAGCTCAGTAGCTGTGAGTGGCATTTTGCTCCCTGGGAATGGCCACTTCCAGTGGCTCCTTCTTGGTCCCCTGATGACCAAGGAGAGGTCACTTGGTGGGTTGTATCCACCTCCCAACTGAGGGCCTCACTTAAAGCAGGGTGCTCTGGTTTGAAAAGCAAAACCAGTGAGAGACTCCAAGTCAGAAGTGCAATTTATTAGGTAAAGGGAAAAAGCAAACACAATACATGCAATAATACAAAAGAAAAGCCACTGACGGAGTCAGAACACAACCTGACACCCTGTTGGTCAGGGTGTTGGTCGCTGTCCAAATTGGAGTGGCAGGTGTGGTTCTGTTGGAGCAGTGATCCTGCAGAAGGGTGTACTCATCCTCTGAAGGTCCAGTGGGAAAACCCAGCTGTTCCTCTTGGGAATCCAGAGGAAAAGGCTGTGTCTGGTGTCCCAAAAACTCAGATTATATCCAGGTAGGAATGCTTGGCTCCTCCCTGTGGGCAGAGCTTCTCACAATGGGATGCTGTCACTTTTATCAGTCTGCAGTGACATTCAGTAGCCCATGAACAGCAGATGTATCCACAGGGGGAGGGTTGGTTTGGGGAAGAGATAAAGAAAACTGCCCAGAAGATAACTGCCACACCTCTGACAGATGGCAAATAGAATCCATCTTGCCTTGCAATCTAGGACACAGGGGAAAAGTGGGGATTTAAAACACCCCTTTTGAAGTCTTTTTCTTTCTCTTCTGAACCTGAAAACTGAGTCAGAAAGGCTTTTTGGTGACCCAGCACATGGGAACTGCAGTGCGTTTCTCACCTCATATGACTGCAGCACGTTTCATGGGAAGAAAAGGGACAGAGAAAACCATAGAGCAACTCCATTTTCTTGTACTTTATTGCTGCTCTGTATAGAAACCCTCAACCCTAGAGGTGGTTTATATATTCATATAGGAAATGATGTGATTTGTTCAATAGGTTTTTCTAATTCAAGGGGACATGGCCCATGGTGGGATCCAGCCATGGCTTTCCTCAGCCAGGCTCTGCCTGCCTCAGTTCCAGCACCTGTGGAAGAAAAGCAGAGGGGAAAACACAATGTTGTGAGTCAGCAGAGGCATGGATAAGTCCCTTGGAACAGGAAAAGTGCTGCTCATGGCTTTCCTCTTGTACCTGCTGGGTTCTCCATGTGCAGGAACCCCCTGGTGACACACAAGGGACTAAAACCTTGTGTTCCATGGGGGACTGGCAGTCCTTCCTCTGCAGCTCTTTTTCACTTCTCCACCCCTTTTTCTTGCCTTCTCCCTGGTGAGGTCATCCAAAGCCAGGACAAATGGAAAGGTCTCGTGGCTCTGCAAATGCCAAGAGCTTTTTATCCCACACTTGCCAGCCCTTCACGGGGTTGCTGGTGCTCCTGTGCATTCTGTGAAGCTGCTTGCAGCTCGTTTCTGGGTGGAGAGACAAATTATCACACCAGACAAATTATCAAGGATCCAAAATAGCACAAAAGGTGACACTTGATATTCATTAGCCAGTCAGATATTTCATCATGATCCCACATATCTTCCACCTATTTAAGGAAGAAGAAACACACATGTCCATATTCCCAAGCTTTTCCAGGCTTTTCTGGTCATAACCCAATGACCGGAGCATCCAAGAACTGGAACGTCTTCCTTCTCCCTCCCTTCCACTGTCCATTCATCCCCCCTCTTCCCAAAAAAGATAAAAATAGCCCACCCATGTGAGCTGCAATTTGCTGTGAGGTTTCCAGCAGCTCTGGGATGTGTGGAAGGCAGCCAGGTAGCCTAGCAACAGGGTGCAGCTATTTGAGGCTGGTCCAGAGAAAAAGGAGAGAAGGATTGATTTTTCTGGGGGTGTGGGCAGTGGTATCAGGACAGGCAGGGCTCTCCATCCATGCCCAAAAATCAGGATTTACCCAGGGTTGCTGCTGCATTTCTGTCTCCATCCTGCTGCCAGTTTTCTGTGGAGTAGAGGGATTTTCAGCTCGTTCTCACGAATTTTGGGGTGCTGATGTGCCTCTGGCACTCGAGGGGTGGGAAGCAGCACCTGGAAGGTGTCAGGACTGGGGAGGAGAGGGTTACACCGACAGAAAAGTGCCCGTGTTGTCACAGCACCTTGTCACCGTCCCTGTGTGCTCTGTGTCACTTTGCCTCCAATCCCATCCCTCACACACACACAGAGATTCAGTGCTGACCAGCAGGAACCTTCTGCACTGTGTGGTCCTTGCAGGATGGGAAAAAAAATCCATGGAAACCTCAGTGGTGCTTCATCCTCATGTGGAGCCCTGATGGGGCTGCTCTTGGAGCTCCTCCCTGCCCCTCAAGCCCCTCCTGGCCCTCCCAAACCCTCTGCTCTTCCAGCCTGCCCTCCATCAGCCTGGGCAGGGAGGAAGGCTGACCCCCTTCCTCTGACCCTCACCTGGAGGCAGCTGCTTCATCTCCCCAGCCGTTTTCTTAGGAGGAACAATGAGATCTCCCTCAGTTCCTGAGACATTCTGTGAGCCAGACATGAGAAGCACCTCTCAAAATGCAAAGCATGGCTATGATTTATTTAACAGCTTCTCCACCCCAGTCCTCAGCCTCTTCATTACCGAGACTGACAACTGTGCTGGATGCAATTCCTGAAATAGGCTGAGCTCCCCAGGCAGGGAGAGCAAAGCCTGGCCCCAGGGGAGGAGTTTTGGCACATCAGGAAAGGGCTGGCCCTGCTCAAAGGAGGCACCTTTGTCCAGGGTGTGATCTGCACCCAGGAGATCAGGAGATGGTGCTGACACAGCCCTTCCCTTGCAATGCACAAACCCCAGCCCAAATCTGCTCCAGGAGGGACACGGGGACATGGACCTAGAATCACAGAATCACAGAATCACAGAATCACAGAATCACAGAATCACAGAATCACAGAATCACAGAATCTCAGAATCACAGAATCTCAGAATAATGAGGTTGGAAGAGACCTCTGAGATCATCAAGTCCAACCCATGCCCTAACACCACAACTAGACTATAGCACCAAGTGCCATGTCCAGGCTTTTTTAAACACATCCAGAGATGGTGATTCCACCACCTCCCTGGGAAGACAATTCCAGTGCTTTATTATTCTTTCAGTGGAATTTTTTTTCCTAATATCCAACCTATACCTTCCCTAATGTAGCTTGAGACTGTGTCCTCTTGTTCTGTCAGTGCTGCCCGGTAGCAGCTTTCTGGACAAAGCAGCACAAACCATGACATGGACCAGGATTCCAAACCAAGGAGTTTGATCCCTTTTCTAGACAGATTGGGCCATTTATTGTGTTTGCTGTTAATTAAAACAGCCTGGGGAGGGGAAGGCTTCACTACTCTCAGGGTCTGCGGTGTCAAGGTGACCTCAAGAGTGTAAAAGTCCTCATTTCCCAGCCCGTGCAGCCAAAGAAGGAGTCAGAATGTGCAGGATAGCTTCTCAAGGTTGTTTATTTTCCCTTATCTAGAACATTCTTTCTCTGCCCTGCTGAGCTCTGGCCAGCAGCTCGGCCATGGCTTCTGTCTGCCCTCAGGG